CATCCTCGTTTCCAAGCCATAGAGCCAGCGTTTGTCCAAAGACAATCTTCCGTGGTCACATGGCCAGTGCGACTTAGACACGAAACGCTGTTACCTTCCCACCGAAGTGGTCCCTATTTATCTACTTGCATTTGCATGCTTTCGAACTGCTAGGTTGGCAGGAGCTGGGGCAAGCGACGGGAGCTCACTCCGTTGCGTGGATTTGATCTTACGACTGCAGGTCTTCTGACCCTGCAGCACAGGCTTCTGCGGTTTAGCCCACAGCACCACCACGTCCCTTCCACAGCATCACCACGTCCCTTCAAGCCTTTGAGAATACATTCAAAACCAAATTAGTCAGAGGGAAGGTTCGGAAAGGCCTGTGTGAACAGCCGTGTTTTGAGTTGAAAACAGAAGTTGTTTCTTCAGTCAATTTCAGTCAATGGCAGTACCTAGTGAACATATCAGCCAAGGGAGGGACAAATAACTCTGCTGTTGTGGGTCTGATCACAGACCCATTTTCTTGTCCTTAAAAGCTGATAGGAAGTCTCAGGTCCCTCAAGAATGCTCATTCGGTTGACGCCGAGGAGCTCCAGTCGACCGTGTCTTGTTGATGCATGTCTACCATGTGTTTGTGTATGTAGGCCTTTCCTCCACGTTTTGCCAGATGTTGGTAATTGGAAAATACCTTCTGATAGTGGAATGAATCGTTCTTAGTGTTAAGGATTCTTTCTCTCTCATAATCTCTCTCTCCCCCCCCCTTTCAGAAACAAGATCCTTATTTTTGGACTATTTGAAGAAACTGCCTTGGCCGCCTTCCTCTCCTATTGTCCCGGCATGGACGTAGCTCTGAGGATGTATCCCCTGAAGTAAGTCCGGCGAGACGTCGAAGCCACTGTTTTCAAACAGGGCGGAGAAGGAGAGGGTGGTTTGACTTCTCTGGAGCAGACAGATTTTAATCTAGAAGGTTGGGCTGGACCATGCTCAAGCTCAAACATGGCCCTACCATTGGACAGAGTGCTGTGGCTGTCCCTGGGGGAGCAGATCCTGTGGGAACCGACGGCACTCCTCGGGGGGGGCATGTCTCAGCCTTGGGAAGCCTGACCCTCCCTCCTAACCAACGTACACCCCAACCCACCCCAACGTGTGTGTCAGGCACCTTTTATCCTCTCTCCAGGCCTAGCTGGTGGTTCTGCGCCTTCCCATACAGTTTCCTCATTTTTGTGTATGACGAAATTCGTAAGCTCATACTGCGTCGCAATCCCGGAGGTAAGTGGCGAACGGCTCGCGGGGCGAACAAATGTAGGAGGAGGGCCCATTCCCCGGATGGGGCACGATCGATCTGCAGGGCGAGGGGAATTTGGGAGAAGGGAGGCAAGCTGTTCGTTGGCACTGATGTTCGTCTCTTATCTCCCTTTCTTTTTCAGGATGGGTAGAGAAAGAAACCTACTATTGAATCTCTTTCCGTCTCTGTTGCCAGTTGTCTCCCCGCTGCTGGGAGGGAGTGCTCCCCCCTCTAAAATTCTGCCTACCCCCCTACCTTGATTATGAGAGAGGCTGTAATGCCGGGATTATACGCTCGGACATAGACGCAACAAGCCAAGCCCACCGCCCACCCCGTGCTCATTTCCCCACCCTGGGCAGATAAGATGGGCAGTCTGCCCCGTCTCATTCTGCATGCATGTCCCAGACTGGAGGGGTGGGGAAAAGAATACCCCCCCTATCTGTTCCCCCCTTCCTCTCTGCAATTTACCCCCTTTTTTCTTTTCTTTTTTTAGAAGCAGCCTGGGGGAGCAGACGTACGGGCGCGAGAGAAAATTGGGGAGATGGGGCAATATTTATTTACCTCTGCAAATCCATCCTCTCCCACGTCAAATCCCCTTCCATAGCTGGGTTTGAACCGGGGGACCAGCAGCAGCACCCTAGAATGACATGCCTCGGATACACCTGCCAGTCAGGGCAAGGTTTGGGGGGGGAGGGAGGAGAGGGCGGTCCTGTTATGATGGAGGCAGCCTTTGTTTCACCGCCTGGCAAGGCAGACAGGATGACGCCCCCCCCCCCCCCACCCCCCCCCCCCCCCCCCCCCGGTTTTCTCCCTCCATCTTCCTGTGGGGAAAATGTTGTGTGTGCGTGTGGGCCTATGCTATGTAAGTGTGCAAGAGAAGGGAAAAACCCCTTTGTCCAACTCCTGTTTTCCATCTATTCATATATTTTTTTTGGTACATGTGGGGCGGTGAGCGCTTGGGCACAAAGGGGAAAGGACATCTCAAGAAGAGCATCCCCATTTCTGGTCCTTTCCCCCTCGTGACCCCACTTCCCTAGACACCGTCTCCATCCTTTGGATTCTTGACTCTTGCCTAGATTTGTCCAAATGAACCCCAGACGTTTGGAGTCTCGTCTCTTGTGCATGTACAGAGTTGCTTCCGTAGGACCAAGAGAACCGCTTAACTCCCATCCTTTCTCCAACTGTGTGCGTAGGGGTGTGCGTGCGTGTGAGTGAGTGTGTCGCAGGAGGGGGCTAGGTCATCATCACCTCCTTATTCCAGAAAAAACCGCGAAGGGAAAGAGGGGCGTTCCTGGCTCTGTGTGTTCCCACTGGTGCTTAACACCACCCTCTTCCCTTGGCCAGCCATTCCCTGTCCCCCCCGTGTCCCGGGCCCACTATCTAGTAATAGATTGGAGGAGATTTCAGCCATAACCTCCCCCCCCCGGAGAAAAATATGCCCTTCCCCTATCTTTCCTGGGGAGGGAGCAAAAGGGGCTTTTTAGCTCCTCCGAACTGGGTGAGGCGGCTTCACTTCCGTGTTTTTCCCCCACATAAATCGTTTAAAAAAAATTGTGTTTCGGGAGGGGAGGGGGGGGA